TGAATCAGAGGAGGCGTGATGGCATGTGGCCCTTTGCACTAGTATATCTTAATACCGGTCTGAGAAATAGAATGGCATGTGCCCTCAGGCCTTTTACTAAATCACCTTTGAAAGAAATGCAAGCCTCTATGTCGTAAAAAAAGGTACTAGAGAAATTCCTTAATAATATGAATGTTATTTAGTTTCATGAAAATACACTAAGGGTCAAATGAGTTAAATGACTTCTCCAGACTAGCAATGCCTCTTGCTACACCTTCACAATTAGATTCGTTAGAAAAAGATAACATTGAATAATATCTAAATGTTCTCACCATTAAGTTATATGTCTGGCTAATAGGAATGACGTTCATCTTGGAAAGCTCACCACACGCTCAATGAACAAACAAATAGTGTGTGCGCGCATGCCATCGCTCTTCTTTAGCTTCAGATTCGGCTTGTTCACCTTGATAATGAGATTTATTATACAACCAGATGGACTCAGTCTGGACACAAAGTCACCGCGCTAGTCACCATGCCCCAGATATGTCTAGCCCCTGGACAAAAAACATATAATTTCACGTCATTTTCAAATACTTGAAAATTTGTACCTAGTCCCATTTTACTGAATAAATCCCACTTTAACGAAATAGAGCTTCATAGTGTTGAACGTTGCCAGAACATTACATAACCCAAACGGCATGACAAGGAACTCATAAGATCTATACTGAGTCTTAAAGGCTGTCTTCTTCACATCTTGATCTACCACCCATATCTGATGATATCCGGACCGCAAATCAAGCTATGTGAAATATTTAGCTTTTAAGAGTTGGTCAAATAAGTCATCAATGCGAGGTAAAGGATAACTATTTTTTATAGTGATCTTGTTGAGTACCTAATAGTCGATACACATCCTCATAGTTCCATCCTTTTTCATAACAAAAAGTACCGGCACTCCATAAAGTGACTTCCTTGGTCGGATATGACCTTTGTCAAGAAGCTCCGTAAGTTGCTTCTTGAGTTCAGCAATCTCCTTGATGTTCAAATAATATGGAGCATTTGTAGGTGGTTTAGAACCCGAAATAACCTCAATCTAATGATCAACTTCACGGCTAGGAGGTAGCCTTGGCGGCAAATCCTTTGGGAAAATATCCTGATTCTGCGCCAACAACTTCAATATCTTTTTTGGTATAGGATCAACCCCATCACCGATTTGAACTAAGTCACCAACACCCTCAGCTTCCATCACTTGAACCCAAAAGGTCCAACATCCCCTCTTAGTTGCTTTTTGAGCAGCCCTCGCAATCAGGAACTTTGCATCCCAATCCTTTAAGGAGCGCTTTTGCAACTGGAAAGACACATCAGGATGTTCTTCTGACTTCAATATGATGCAAATTTGTCTAGCACTATAAATCCCTTTAATATATTTGTTAAAGAAATCCATACCAAACACCATTTAAAAATCTGGTATCTTCAACACTACCAAGTCCACTCTTTCCTTCCACTTGGATATTTTTATTGGAACATCACTCACAAATTTTCTGGCTACTTGCCCACCTTCCACAAACCGAAAGTGTATGGGTGACATTTGCTCAACATTCAATCATAACAACTTAACTAAGTCTTTGGATATCACGTTGTGTGTAGCTCCTGTATCAATCATCACTTGGATTTAGTGTCCACAGACAAAGCCTACCAAATACATCAACGGATCAGTGTTTGCATTGACTGCGAAAAAAGCTATAGGAAAGCAACAAAAGTAACTCACCTCCTTTTCCTCATAGTTTGCATTGACCAACTTGTCAACCTCTTTAGCTTCACCACCACTGTCTTCCTTCATGACATTAACACAAAACCATGTCTTATGCTTGTTTGAACATTTTGAGGATCTATGTCCTGACTTTCCACAATGGAAGCAATAACTTACATTACCCGTTCCGCTAGGAGGAGGTTTTGCAAGTTGCTGCTACTTGAACCCACCTAGAGGAGGAACAGAGGGCCTAGGACTAGAAGAAGCTATTGGTGGTCTCCAACCACCACCACCATTGTTAACTATTTCTTATAAGCCTCTAGGGCAAAACCTTCTTTCTACCCTCTATTTCTAATCACCTTCTTTATTCTTAGAATTCTTATTCTTGTCCAAGGTATTAGCATACGGCTGCTGATATTGTTCCATGAGCAAGTGACTAAAGGCAACTTGCTGTGCTACCTCCTTACACTCTAAGTATGTCTTTGGCTTAAACTTCAAAATCTCATTATGAGAAAGTGAACTTAAACCCTTTAGAAAATAACTCCAAGTATCTTTGTCACTCATATTGGCAATCATAATGTGCTTCTGAGCAAACGCATTAACATAATGCATAACTACTTTAACTGCCACAGCACAGCATGAAGTTTCAGGCCAAGATCATCTGGCAAGTATTCCTTATGGATACGTGACTGCATCTTAATCTAACTTCTAGTCTACCCTTTTTCAGCACACACTTGGCACCATCAAGTTTTTGGCATGATTGGTGAAAAAGAATTGTGCACACGCAACTTTCATACAATCATCTACATCTGCCGCTATGAAATTGTTTTCCATATCGTAGACCCAATCTTCCAAAACCTGATTGTCCTGCATGCCTCTAAAATTAGGTGGTTTTGGAGGCTTGAACTTTGAAACTCGTGCAACCCGGGGCAGTTGCAAAACTTCATCATCCTCAGAATTTGAAGAGAAGTCCGGTTGCTTAGGTTTAGCTGGTTTACCTGCCTTAGCCTCTTTCTTCCTCTTCTTGTTCTTCTTCTTCAATTTACGAACTTCCCTTCACAAATTCTCGATCTCAACTTCTTGAGCCATACACTGTAGTGCTATAGCATCTGGCTCTTCCTCTTCTGACTTAGCCTCAGCCTCTTCTGCAACATCTCTAGCAGGAGTTTCCTCCTCTCGACTTGCCCATTTAAAAGTACAGTTCCTTTTCACCATCACGCTAGCTACATGCATGCCTCTATCAGTAACTGAACATGCATACAACATTCTTACCGAATGGTACAATCTAATTAATTTGACACAAGTCACTTCAGATCTACTAGAAAAGTCTCTATGTATGCAACTTGAGTCAGAAAATCTGACAAAAGTTGAATAGGAATCGCTGAGACAATTCCTTTAATACCAAATGTGGCACACCTAAATTTGGAGCAGAATGTAAGCCACAAATGTTTCCTTTCCAATTTGCTAGCCTACCTCATCTATCCGTCCAACACTGCCTTGACTTTTGCTAAGTTCCCTTGCCAAGGTTCCCACCTATGGTACCAGCTGCTACTTGGTTCTAATTGATTTCAGCTACTCACTGCACAAGCAACGGAGTGTTAGCCATCCATCCACGGATTCCCAAATCTCTCCCAATCCCCCTCCCCGAGTTAGACTGAACTTAAGGTTCGGCTACACTCCCCGCAGGCACAAGCAGCCAAGCACACCAAGCCTCCAGGTTCCTAACACCCCTTGGTACCACAAGACTTGATCATGGGACCCTCTAAATCCCAAGTCTTGGGTGCAACACTTGCTTCGGGAAGCCGGGGCGAAACACCGTGGCCTAACGGTTCGGTATGGGTACCTCTACCCCCCCACTACCCCCTCTACCCCCCGACTACCCCCCCACGACCGCACCTCGCCACTAGACTCCTGTTTGGAAGTTTCCTCACTAGAGTCCTCCTCAAGCAAGGATTCCTCATCCATAGCCTCTTGTTCGACCGGAGGCTCCAGCTCTGGAGGAGGTTCTATCTCCGCCTTGGTTCGTTTCCGCCCTGCCTTTGCCATTTCCCAAAAATCCGCCTCTATCCTTCGCTAGAACTGAGGAAAAGGCTCCGATACCAAATTGTAAGCCACAAATTTTTCCTTTCCAATTTGCCAGCTTACCTTGTCTATCTATCCAACACTGCCTTGACTTTTGCTAAGTTCCCTCGCCAAGGTTCCCGCCTATGGTACCAGCTGCTACTTGGTCCTACTTGGTTTCAGCTACTCACTGCACGAGCAACGGAGTGTTAGCCATCCATCCACGGATCCCCAAATCTCTCCCAATCCCCCTCCCCGGGTTAGACTGAACTTAAGGTTCGGCTACACTCCCCGCAGGCACAAGCAGCCAAGCACACCAAGCCTCCAGGTTCCTAACACCCCTTGGTACCACAAGACTTGATCATGGGACCCTCTAAATCCCAAGTCTTGGGTGCAACATTTGCTTCGGGAAGACGGGGCGAAACACCGTGGCCTAACGGTTCGGTATGTGTACCTCTACCCCCCCACTACCCCCTCTACCCCCCGACTACCCCCCCACGACCGCACCTCGCCACTAAACTCCTGTTTGGAAGTTTCCTCACTAGAGTCCTCCTCAAGCAAGGATTCCTCATCCATAGCCTCTTGTTCGACCGGAGGCTCCAGCTCTGGAGGAGGTTCTATCTCCACCTTGGTTCGTTTCTGCCCTGCCTTTGCCATTTCCCAGCAATCCGCCTCTATCCTTCGCTAGAACTGAGGAAAAGGCTCCGATACCAAATTGTAAGCCACAAATTTTTCCTTTCCAATTTGCCAGCTTACCTCGTCTATCCATCCAACACTGCATTGACTTTTGCTAAGTTCCCTCGCCAAGGTTCCCACCTATGGTACCAGCTGCTACTTGGTCCTACTTGGTTTCAGCTACTCACTGCATGAGCAACGGAGTGTTAGCCATCCATCCACGGATCCCCAAATCTCTCCCAATCCCCCTCCCCGGGTTAGACTAGACTTAAGTGTAAGGAACCGACTCCCCGAGATGTCGTAGGCTAAAGGATCCCCAAAAGCTTGACCGAAATGACAAAGAGTTCATCAGATGGGACCAAGTCGAGGATCGAGTCCAAGACCGACTCTAGGACCGAGTTCGAGATAGGGTCCAGAATCGAGTCTGAGACCGACTCGGGGACCGAGTTCGAGTCCGAGTTCGAGACCGAGTTCGAGACGGAGTCCGAGATCCGAAATCAGGTCCGAGACCGAGTCCGAGGTCGAGTCCGAGGTCGGGTCTGAGATCGGGTCCGAGATCGAGTCCGAAATCGAGTCCGAGACCGAATCCGAAGTCGGATCCGAAATTGGGTCCGAGATCGAGCCAGAGACTAAGTCCAAATACTAATACGGGTCAAGGGGTGAAAGCCCAAAGCGTGCGTCTCCCAGGGGGGGGGGGGCTGCAGGGGGTTCCAAAAGTATAGTAGGGATAGTGAGGTCCAGGAACCAGTTTTGAAGGGACTCTCCAGTTGGGCTTCCAAACCGACTTGAGGTTGAGACTGGGACCGAGGGGCCTTGGGTGGGCGTGAGCATGGACTTGGCTGGTGCCGGAGGGGCCCTCCCAGGGAGTGCTCCAGAGCAGCTCCCCCTCCCCAAAGGGAAACCGACTGGGGGGCTCCCAGCTCAGGGGGAGGGGTGCCCCCCTTGAGTACCTTGGGGCTCATTGGTCCTCGCCCTTCCGGGGGGTTGGGGCTTCCCTTCGGGATGGAAAAAGGGGGGTAGAGGTACTCATACCGGGCCGTTAGGCCACGGTGTTTCGCCCCGACGTCCCGAAGCAAGTGCTGCACCCAAGGCTTGGGATTTAGAGGGTCCCATGATCAAGTCTTGTGGTACCAAGGGGTGTTAGGAATCTGGAGGCTTGGTGTGCTTGGCTGCTTGTGCCTGCGGGGAGTGTAGCCGAACCTTAAGTTCAGTCTAACCCGGCGAGGGGGA